TTTTTTTGAACTCGTTCTAGTCTGGTATACACGTGCAAGCGGAACCTCTGCTGGATTTACAAAGTCGTTATGTGACGATTAATTGTTGGGCTGGCGTGCAAAAGTGGGAGGATGAGGAGAAGGAAAAAGAGAAGCTGGGATCAGGCGTCTTCCACGCGCGCCTTTTTGGAGGTCGATTCTGAGGACTCAGTTTCGGTGGCGGTCTCGGTGGTTGGGTCGTCCGACTTTTTCTTGCGCTTAACCATGCCCGAGAGGTTGTTTACGGGGGCGTTGGTGGCAGCAGCGGAAGAGGGGGCTGCGAAGGCAGCGTTTCCGTTGGCGTCGTCTGTGTCGGCGGCCGAAGCAGCAAACGCATCGCGGATGGCCTGTTGCAGCGCCTCCTTTGTGTTGCCCACTGCATCGGGCCCGCCGAAACCAGCGAGGTCAGGCTGACCGTTCAGCTTGGCGGAGCCGGCGTCGGACTCGTACTCGCGCAGCTTGTCGTCGAGTTCAGCCTTGATGCTCTTGACGTCGGAGAGCTCGGAAGTGAGTTTTTCGGCTCCCATTTCCAGCAGGTCGTCTTTCTCGTGCTGGTCGTCGTTGGCTTTCGACTTGCCATTTGTGGCAGGAGCAGCAGCATCAGCAGTCGAGTCAGTCGAGGCGTTTTCGGCAGTCTTGTCATCCGATGCCGCGATTCGGGCTTCGATGGCCTTGATTCGAGCACCAAGGACATCGGAAGCGGCCTGAACGTGCTTCTTTGCGCCCTGTCTGGGCTCGACATCGGGGTGGAACTCGAGAGCAAGACCGAGGCGCAAGTGTGCATCAGCAAGACGACGAGAGTGCGGGTTGAGGAGAGGAGTGAGGATGTCGAGACTCTTTTGGTAGTCGTCGGAGGATTGTTGGAAATTTTCGTTTTCGAGGCCTACATCGCCGAGATCGTTCATGACTTCGGCAAGCTCGGCCTTGGTGCGCGTTTCTGACCACGTCTGGCTTTCGAGGGTGGTGAGGGAGGGAGAGTCGGAAGAGAGAATGCGCTCGTAGATGACGCGAGCCAGATCGAGGACGGCAAATGCAACTTGGAGGTCGTCGTCTTCGTCTTCGGCTGCGCCTGCTTGGCCCGCAGCCTCGTCGTCGTCGTCGTCGTCAAACTCTTCGGCGTCTCCCGAAAAGCTGAAACGTGGGTCGTTGACGGGCTTTGCAGAGGACGAGGAAGACGATCCAGCAGCAGCGGAGGAAGAAGATGCGGTGGCCTTGGGAGCCGAGGGAGCGGACGCAGAAGAGGGGCCGGCGCCTCCGCCTCCACCGAGGGCAGCCGAGTTGAGGATAAAGTTTTCGAGAAGGCTGCGACCGTAGAGGTGAAGGATGGGAGCAAGGAGGTCGGCATCCTCGGCATGAGACTCGCGAAGCTCTTCGAGGGCCGTTGCGAGCTTGTCGATGGCCGACATGTATTCCTTAAGAGCAAAGTGACGTTTGGCTTCGTCGATGAGCTGACGGGCAGGGATGCCATCAGCGCCAGAAGCAGCTGTAGCCTCGGCCTCAACCGCGGGCGTGGGAATGCCAGGCTGTTCGCTGAGTGCCATACTGTCGGATGTTGCGATGGGATTGGCGGGTGATCAGGGTGACGCAAAAGATGTGGCAGTACGGTAGAAAGTGAGGGAAAAGAGTTGCGGGTGAATTTCGCAACCAGAAGAGTGGAGAGGTGTTGCTCTGTCCAAAAAGTGGGTTGCCGTAGTGTAACTCTTGATTTGTGTGGATCGCAAGCCAACAGGTGCATTTGCACAACTGAGCCTTCGTTGCCGTTGAGAAGGACGCCTGCTGCAGTTTACTGTACACGACTCTCCCTCCGTATGCATTTTTCGGCGCGTCGCGAAACACATTGGGAAGGTGCCAAAGTCTAACAGTTTATAGCACTGTATTGCTGTGTCAGATTGTGATTGTGATTGTGATTGTGATTTTGGAAATAGACCGGTCGGTGAAATATAGCCGGATAGAGCAGCACAGTTACAGTGCAGCAGAACAGTACTGTTGGGGAGGACGAGGCCTAACGTTGCTACCGCTCGCAACTGCACGCGAGGAGGCGGTAGAGTGATGGATATATTGGAATACGCCGCCACTCTGTATCCCCGGCAACCAGAGGCTCAGTTCTGCCGACTACGGAAATGTGCTGTACTGTAGCTGCCACTCACTGCTCTGCATCACACTACAGTACTGTACTGCACTGCACTCCCCCCGCGCTCTGTTACGTCTCCACACTACAGGATCACTGGGTACGGTGCAGTGCTCAATCACAGTGGCTTCACTTGCTCGCTCGCTCGTCTTCTTCGCTTTCACCGATCCAATCACACCTGCACCGACCCATCCTCACATACCTCTTCCAAGCAATCAATCTTCCGTCCTTTTCTCCCATCCACCAATCAACCAACTACACCCATACACACTTCCGTAATCCCTCCCTCCTTTCCATCAGTGGTCGCAATCATGGCTTTCCAATCCATGATGAGCGGTGCCGAGTGCTCCACCTCCAACAACGGCCTCTCCCAGATTCTCAAACACACTCAACAGGACCGGTCCCTGCAGCATGGCGACCGCACTTTTGCAGGTCCAGCTCGCATGGGCCCCGCCGGTATGCGCCAGTCCAATCAGCCACAAGGTGCAGGCTCCGATGCAGAGGCCTTCTTCCGTCAACAGCAACAGTCTGCCATGCCTGGCACTGCCTCGTCTGCATTCGACATGCACGCCATGCGCTCCGAACTCAACAACTTTCATCCTTCGCCCGCCGCCATGTCCAATGCAGGCGCAAGCTGGGCAAACCAGATGCCGCGCGCAGGTGGTGGCCCGGGTGGCGCAGACATGGAGGCCGCGTTTGCGCGCGGCGCCAACTCGAGGCTACAGCACGGCCCTGGCGGTGGATCTGGTGGTTCGGCGTGGGCACAGCAGTTTGGTCCATCCCAGCACGCCCATCCCGACATGATACATGCCAGAGCCGGCGACGATGGTTCCGGTGGCTCCGCCTATGCCTCGGACCGCATGCGTATGATGAACGGCGGCATGTACGGCGGCGGCGGCATGGGCATGATGGGTATGGGCATGGGTATGGGTGGCATGAGCATGATGCAGCAGCCCCAATCTTCGTCCCTGCAGCAGCAACAGCAGCAGTCCTCCTCCCAATCTGCCCGGTTCGTCGAGCTCGACGACGCAAAGTGGGAGGAGCAGTTCAAGAAACTCGACGCAGAGCAGGCCGACGCAGACACCAAGGGCAAGGGCAAGGCAAAGGAGCCCGAGTCCGCTGATCTCCTGCCATCGGAAGCCGAACAAGCCGAGGCCATCCGCAAGGAGCTCGATGCCATCGAGCAGGAGCTTACCGCCGACGGCCAAAACGCCAACTCGCGCTTCGAAGAGCTCTGGCGCTCCATGAACGCGCGCAACGGCGTACCCCCTTCATCTGCCGATGCAGAGTTGGCCAAGTGGGAGGAGGATCTGCTCAACTCTCGCACCGAGGACGAGGAGTTTGGCTATGCTCACCCCTCTGGCGGTCTGGGAGCTGGACGCGAGGGTCTCGACGAGCTCGGCGCGCTGGATGGTACCGAGGATGCACTGCTCGACGGGTTCGGCGTTGTGGGTGCCGACGGCTACCCGCGCCTGGGCCAGTACCGCATGAGCCAGCAGAATCCGTTCCAGACCCACCCCGATCCACTGTCCGAGGGTCTGCGTCTACTCGCCAACGGCGGCAACCTTTCGGACGCGGCGCTGCTGTTTGAGGCTGCCACGCAGCGGGACACGCAGGGCGGAAGCGGCGGCGAAGTGGACCGTGGCGAGGTAGACCGTTCGCGTCGGGAACGCTCCGAGGCGTGGCGACGACTCGGCGAGTGTCAGGCCATGAACGAGAAAGAAGCGCAGGCAATCCGGGCGCTTGAAGAAGCGATCAAGATCGACGAGAACAATCTCGAGGCGTACATGTCTCTTGCTATCTCGTACACCAACGAGGGCTATGACACTGCTGCACACCAGACGCTGGAGCGCTACATCTCGCGCGCGTATCCCAACATCAAGCCTGGTCCTTTGGCGGAAGAGATCTCGGGAGATAGAGACCCGATCGAAGGCACGCCCGGCAATCCGTGGGCGAGTCTCAACCGCGTCACGGACCTCTTCCTCCAGGCGGCGCGACAGGGCAATTCGGCCGGCCAGATCGATCCAGAGGTGCAGGTGGGTCTGGGCGTGCTCTTCTACACCCAGTCGTCGTACGAACAGGCACAGGACTGCTTCACTACTGCGCTCCAGGCGCGTCCCAACGACTTCCTGCTCTGGAACCGTCTAGGTGCCACACTTGCCAACGGTGGGAAGGCAGAAGAGGCCATCGAGGCCTACCACAAGGCTCTCGAGCTGCGTCCTACTTTCACAAGGGCCATTTACAACCTCTCTGTCTCGTGTCTCAACCTGGGAGCACACCATGAGGCTGCGGAACACCTCCTCGCCGCTCTGAACTTGCAGCAGACCCACACCCTCCCAGATGTACCCGACGGCGAACAGCCCTCGCCAACCCCGCTCGCGGAGGCTGGAGAGTCGCATAACCTCTGGTCCACCCTCCGTAGAATCTTTTTGGCCATGAATCGCCTCGATCTCGCACAAAAGGCCCATGTCGGCTCCAGTCTCGACCAGTTCAGGCCGGAGGGCTTTGAGTTTTGATCATGCAACACTTGCCTTTGTCTCTTTTCCCCCTGTCTCTCATTAGCCATCTGTCTTGTTCGACTTTGCGCGCGTTTTCTGGCATCGGCATCTTGTTCTCCCATTTTAACTTTGCATTGGCGTGTTGTACGGTCCTTTGTTTGATCGTTTGCTCTCTGTGTGACCTGTTTATGTGGCTCGATATGGATCGTCTTTGTTTGTATGTTGGGCCTCTTTGGACTTTTGAAAAGGCTTCTCTCGGAATACGACTAGACTAGTCATACCAATGCTGACCCAAGTAATCCCAGAATTAAAGTTATAGCTATATATACGTTACTGTCGGTATGGCGATCAAACATTCCGAATTAGTTTAGTGGCTATGACGGCGCCTTGTCATCACACTGGTGCGTACACGTTCTGGTGGGCTTCGGCGCAGACCCGGGTTCAATTCCCGGATTTGGAGTTTATTTTTCTTTATTATCCTAATTTTTGGGGGACTTTTTCCAGGCGAATCTCCCCTTAATCCCTGTCGTCAACTTGGTCGTTGTTGTGACTGTCTTTGAAGAGAGAAAAATATAGAGGCAAGGTTGTGTTCCTTTTGTCATAGTCACAACTGACGGATCAAGTCCGTGGCACATGAGCTCAGAAAAACCGCAAACGCATCGGCAAAACAAACCACAGGCAGCGATCCAGAACTGCTCAACCCAGGACAGAAGAGCCACAACAAGAGGCATTTCATTCGAATGTGAATGCGATTGCAAAGAGCACCGTACGGCAGAGACGGCTCGAATCTGGACATTCTTCACATCACACAAAGCAGAAATGCAAGCTACGAGTGCATACAAACGAAGAATGACAGCTGCCTACTACGATTGACGATGATGACATTGTAGCAAGAGACTGTGCAGTAGCAAACAGCTTTTGGACAAGTGTGTGTGTGTGGGTGTGTGTGGGTGTGTGTATATAGCTACTCAGATGCCGACGTCGTGGTTCGAGCGGGGAAAGAAAGTGGAAAGAGACGCTACTTTCTCGGTATCGGAGCCTGACCGGTGTGCGAGTACGGATGGAAGCGGGGGATGCCCGAGGCATGGTGGAGGGGCGAAGCAGAGCCCTGTCGATGAGCCGAAGCCGAGGAAGCGCGGCTGTTTGCTCTGCTCTGTCTGCTGATCGAGGAGCGTGCTCCAATAACGTGCTGGGGGCCAGGTGACACGTTGCCCGGAGTGAGCGCCCGTGCTTCGGCAGCCGTCATGTTTTCCATGTTGGTGATCAGCTGCTGGTCGAGCGAGCTTATGGACCTCGTCTCTGCCGAGCTCCTGTGCGAGTCCAACGAGGGCGCAAATCGACGGGGGTCGCTCAGCGACGGGCCCGATGCGAGCGAAGACGACGAGCTGGCTCGCTGGATGTGGTGGCTCGGCGGGAGCTGCTGACCCGTCACGGGACCCGGATCGCTGTCCCCCGTCTGGTAAGACTGCATCGAGGCCCGACGAGGGTCGATCGCATCCTCGAAGCTCGACATCGAGTGGTCGTCGTCGTACTCGCGTCGTCGTGCCTTGCTGACCCGGCTGTATCCGTTGCCGCCACCTACGCCACGCCATGCCATGCTGGCCGGGACGGTGGGGTTGGGTCCGTAGCCACCGCCGCCGCTGTACTCTGGCGACATGGTGTGGAAGGGCGGCTGCAGGGGCGAGCGTGGGAATTCGCCGGAGCCGAAGCTCGGCATCGACGGCGAGAGCTGCGATCCGGGCACCGTCGACTGCTTGCCTCGCGCCTTGTCGCTCGGCACCGCACGGTACGGCGACGACATGAGCTCGTCGGCCGCCATCGATCCCGAGCCCGAGCCTGTGAGCCACTCGACCGGATCCTTGCTGTTGGACGATGCCAGGAGCTGGTTGCGCTTCTGCATGACCGCACGTGCACGGTCTCGCGCTGCCTTCTGCTGTGCCTCTCGACGCGCCTTTTCGGCCTCCTTTGCGGCCTTCTCCGCCTCCTTCTTGGCCTTTTTCGGATCTATAGGCGCCTGCTTTGGCGGCACTGGTACCGGGGCAGGAGCAGCAGCATGCTCCGCGACAATTCTCTGCGCCGGCGTCGGCTGCGACATGTACGCTGCACTGCCACTGGCGACTGGCGGCTGCTGCGGCGGCGCACCATACGATGGCGACCGCACCAGATTCTGCGCAGACATGCCGGCTGCAGCCGCGGATCCACCCACTCCGGCACCGCCGCCAAACACGGAGGACATGTTGATGCCCCAACCCTTGCTTCGGCGCCGCTGCTCCCTGTTGTCACGCGATCCAATGGTCTCGTTGCTTGCATTTGACCCGTTCTTCTGCGATAGATCGCCAGAAGAACCGCCGTGACCAACGAAGGTTGCCTGTCCACTCCCGCCGAGCTGCTGCATCGCATACGGGCTCTGTCCGGCAGCCGCCGCGGCCCGAGCCAGGCGCTCGCGCTCGTAAGCCATTGTGAGATCGTCGTCGTACACGGTACGCACTGGCTGTCCATCTGCATAGTACTGCTGCTGCTGGTGCTGTTGCTGTTGTTGGCGCTGGTACTGCTCGAATTGGTGTGCTCGTAAGGCCTGTGCCTGCTGATGCTGCTGCTGTTGCTGCTGCTGTGAGTGATACCCGTAGTCGCCCGCCCGTACTGTCGCTTCGCTCATCTGTGCATCGGATCCGGGTTGCTGCACCAGCGTGCCGTCGTTGGAACGGATATCGGATCGGCCGTCGTGCGACGCGGAATTGCTATTTGCTGCGTAGTAGGAGGCAGATTCTGGGAAGGCCGGGTAGCCGGCCAATGCCGCTGCAGATTCTCTACCGTGCAGCTGCGGCTGCCGCCCTTGCGCACCCGACGGGCTCCACTGGATCTCGGCGCCAGTGACTTGGCCATATTCTTCACGCATGGGCGAGGCTGGCGAGTTTGTGTCCATCTGCTGGGCGACGGCACGCCCCTGAGCCGCGAAAGACGGTATCGCGAGCGAGCCATCAGCCTGGCGAAGTGAAGCCAGCGGCTTGAGTTTCACGTCGGCAGCACCGAAAGGAGGCTTGTTGGCCTGCGGCGACAGTGGCGTCGAATGGGACGGCGGTACCGCACGCGAGGCTTGCGCCGCAGCAACATTTAGGGCGGACCCGGGCTGCATGCGTATCGGCGCCGTGGCACTCACCGCCGGCTTGGTCTGCGGCGGGCGAAGTCGCGGCGCCTCGACTGTGAGATACTCGTGCCGGAGACAGTCGCTGCTGGTGAGTCGCGCCTTTGGGTCATATCGAAGGAGGTCTTCGATGCAATCAACGAGACTGCGGGGCACACGCTCCGAAAATAAGCGCGAGAAGCGAATAGGCTTGCAGATGGGGAACTGGAAGCCCACCGCCCGGGCCATCTTGATGCCGCGGTCCCATCCACCACCACCGTTGGTCCGCCCACGCTCGTCGCGACCGTAGCTGTGGTTTGGGTCGCCGAGAATCTCGCAGATCTGCATCACTTGGTCCACCTCGCTCTGCCCGGGGAACAGCGGCTTGAGGTTGACCAGCTCGGCAAGAATGGTGCCCAACGCCCACATGTCGACTGGATTGCTGTAGTCGCGCGACCGCAGCAGCACCTCGGGCGCACGATACCACCGCGTAGACACGTACTCGGTATACGGTGGCTTGCTGAGCGTTTCACGCGCCAGACCAAAGTCGGCCAGCTTGACGATCACCAGCACGTCGCGCTCCGGTGGTGACCCAGCCTGCTGCGCCGGGTAGTCGGCCAGGCCTGTCGTAGTGATGAGCAGATTCTCGGGCTTCATGTCGCGGTGGAAGTAGCCGTGGCGGTGGATGTGGTCCAGACCCTCGACGATCTGCTCGTAAATCGAGGCCACCAGTCCGGCCGCGAGCGGCCTCCCCTTGCGAGACTTGGTCAATTGGTACAAGTTTCCCTCCATGCACTCGAAGACAAAGTGGAGCTCCTTGGTGGTAGGCATGAGGAATGCGTCGTAAAGCGGGATGAGGTTGGGATGCGGCGGTATTGTGAGGAGCGACTTGAGTTCCTTGAGCTTCATACACTCCTGCCAGCTGGGGAAAGGCTTCTTCATCTTTTTGATGGCGACAAGCCGCTTGCCGACATACTCGGGCCGTGTGGTAGGATGTTGCATGGGTGAGAGCATGGTGCCGCTCGGTAGCGGGCTCTTCCAGTCGGCCAGACAGACGGTACCGAAGGAGCCGTCGCCGACATCCTTGATGACCGTAAAGTCACGAGGACCCTCGCGCATGAGCGAGGCGGCGGTCGTCGGCATCGTCTGGTCGTCGTCTGATGGTGGTCTCAAGGAGTTCGAATAGGTTTGCGAGTTGGAACGGGAAGTCGATGACATGCTGGGCCCGGATGCAGATGCTGACTGTGATGAAGATGCGGAAGCCAAGGCAGACGCATGGAGTGCGTTGGTGGGTGGGATTGGCACACTGTGGTTGGTGTTTGGGTATACGGATGCATAGTCCTGGTGAGGGACGCCTTTGGAATACATGACCTGGCGAAGGCCAGTCGGATCGGCACGCAGCTGGTCTGCGAGCAGCGTCTGCGGCTGATGCGGGCGGTGGAGAGCGGCAGAGGCGAGTGTTGAGGTGGATGCGACAGGTGCCATCATCAGAGTCGACGGAGCATCAACGCCATAATCCATGTTCTAGGCTCACCGAGGCCTTCGTAGTCAGAAGCTGTTCGAGTCAACTGGTACCGTACTCCAGATCGAGCTAGCCTCGCAACCGCTGCCCGAACGAGCAAAGCGCGCAGAAGCGAGTGCTCTGCTTGTTAGCCGAGATGTGACGTCCCAAGGACCGAAGTCTGCATGTGTCTGCCAAGGACGGTTGAGCGATGCGATGCGAGATGGTGGCCGAGATGGCGGGCTACCTTTTGCAAATGATGTGAGGGAAACAGCAGCAGAAGATGGAGTGCCAGCAAGTGTCGAGGAGAGCCGATGGGCTTGTTCACGAGAGGCGCGTGCTGGTGACGACGGTGAAGTCAGTGCTGCTCAAGATACGGTATGGGTGAAGTTGAGATGCCTTCTGGCTGGGAGGTAGATGCTGATGCGCGGGCTGTCACTTCATCAAAGGGATGTGAGATAGGTGAACGCCGACCTCGTGGCAAGGGGGCGAGACAAGACAAGTGCAACAGCTTGAATGAGTCACGACAGCGACCGTGTAAGCTCGAGTCCGGCAGAGAGTGGGGCAGAGAAACGCGTTTGACAGTAGCACGGTCGTTGAAACAGAAGAGAGTATCGACTCGGTGGTACCTGTCGCGGTGTTGGGCGAGATCAAGCCAGCTGGAGCCGGCCAGGAAAGCGCAAGAGGGCAGTGCTTGGTGGTAAGGTACGAGTTGCGGGTCGGTGTGAAGGCGCGCCGCGAATGAAGGTCAGAAGCAAACCTTGGTGGCCTGCGAAGCCGATCGAGATGAAGGTAATCGAATGCAAGTTGAGCGATGAAGGTCAAAGTGAAAGGCGAT